GACTACAGTAAAAAATTAGTTATGAAAATACATACTTAGTAAATGCAGTAAAATTCCTTTCAGTTTCTCTGAGATACTAAAATAAAATTCCTCTCATACTTAAGAGTCTTCCTTTGTAAAAAGAATTCTCAATCTATTTTCTTAGTTTGTGTATTTTCTCTTCTTAGACCAAAAAAAAAAAAAAAATTCTTAAACAGAATCCATTTCTTTCTTTTTTTTTTTTTTCTATCAAGTAACTAAGTAAGTCAGATAAACTGAAAAGGTTATTTTCTGCTTTTAAGTATAGATGGGTACCATTGTACAGTTGGATGGATGCTTGATTTAACCATATCTGGACCATTATTGTAGAACTAGAGGCCCGATGCACAAAATTTGTGCAAGAAGCTTGGCCCTCACAGCTGCAGTGGCTTTCCTTGGCCCTCACAGCCCTGGCCTCATCCAGAAGGCCGTAAGAAAGTTCATTTGGCAGTCTGGTCTGATTAGCATATTTCGCGTTTATTGTTATAGATGGGATATTTTATTTTATTTGGGGGGGTATGGAAATCTTTTTAAAAACAATAGTTATTTTGGAAAGTAGCATGCACTAGTAAATGTTTATCACATGTGTGTATTTGTGTTTCTTTAGAGTGGCTTATCTACAGTCAAAAAGTTTCAGTAAGTCAGACATCACCCAGATGGTCAGAAAGGCGCCATTTTTGCTGAGTTTTTCCGTGGAAAGACTGGATAACAGACTGGGATTTTTTCAGAAAGAACTTGAACTTAATGTGAAGAAGGTAAAGACAAGGGGGGGGGGGGGGGGAATTTTTGTATTTCCAAGTCAGCTACATTTAGTAATTGTTACATCTCATGTTTCTACCAGCTATGAATGAAGAAGCCTGCTAGCTTAAACATGTAGCTGTATCATTTTATAATGTTCCATCAAATTGTTTCCTTTTGTTTTTAGTATGTTTTCTCCCTCAAATAGTTTTACGTTTATGTATTTATGGGGTTCCTAACCCTTTTCTGAGGGTCATTTTAGAATTTTTAAAAACTAGTTTGGCTTCCCAAACTAGTTGCACATATGGTAATGATAGACTGTTTTATAATTGCAGACTAGAGATCTGGTGGTTCGTCTCCCAAGGCTACTAACTGGAAGTCTGGAGCCCGTGAAAGAGAATATGAAGGTAGGATAACTTTAAGCTTTTGAGAACTCAGCTTCTTTCTTGAAGTGTTTAAGTCCTCTGAAGAGGATAGGTTTTTGCTATTGTCATCTTAAAGAAAACTGTATCATACATTTTCTTTCTAAAAAGATGAGACTAGAAAATGAGACCTATCTAGCACGCTGTTTGTTGTAGGTGATATGTTCACGTGTTCACCAGGTGTTACATGAGTAGGTCACCTTGCAGACACAGATGCCTGTACTCCTAGGTATGTGGGTGCTTCCTGGAAGCTGCTTCCGTTGCCAGAACGAGAGCCTCTGTCTGTGTGGGCAGGTGGGGATGAGTTTTGGAGACTGGATCCGACGGCTTCTGTGAAGGGCAGTGGCCAGCACATTGCTCTCCTTACACCTGTGCCAGATGCCGGCCCTGGTTCTACCACAGCACACGCCAGACATTCTTCCGTGTTTCTCCCAGCGAGTGCGTAGAGCCAAGGGCAGCTGACTGTTGGTATATACAAAGCTGGAGGAATATGTGAAATCATTACCTAAGGCCTCCGTGTTTGCTGAGGCGCTCACGGTGTTTCATATTCAGTTGTACAAGTTGTGGGCACCTGCCCCCACACTGTGCGGGAGGGCGGCCCTGCTCTATGGAGCTTCCGGTCCAGTGGGGTCAGCGCGGAGAGATACAGGCCGGGGACTGGCGGGGCGCTCAGCTGCTCATAGGAGACCGAACGCACGTTCGGGTGTGTAGTTTTCTCCTCTCTGTCTGGAGTTCTGACATGTGTTTCAGATAACACTTGGGAGCAGAGGCTCAAAAAGCACTTTGAAAATCTTACTAATGTATGGTAGGGCCCAAAACGAATACCTACCTGCCCGGGTCTCCCAGCCCCCATCATTCTGCCGCATAATCATGCGAGCTCCTTCTGGGTCCTCAGTGCTGTGAGCAGCTCATTCCCAGGAGGGGGTCTGAAATTCAGGTTACCCCAGAAGCAGGAAGCTACGATCCCTGAGGGCAGGGGCATAGCTGTCTCCAGACTTTTCGGTCCTTATTTTAAATATTGGAAGAATCCATGTGTCCTTTGGCATAGTACCAAGATAGCTTTCTATTCATAATTTATAGCAACTCTCCTTTTTCTTTTAGGTTTATCGTCTTGAACTAGGTTTTAAACATAACGAAATTCAACATATGATCACCCAAATCCCAAAGATGTTGACTGCGAATAAAAGGAAACTTACGGAGACGTTTGATTTTGTGCACAACGTGATGAGCATTCCCCATCACATCATCGTCAGGTTCCCGCAGGTAACGCGCAAGCTGTGAGAGCACCTTGCCCTCCGTCTGCCACTGCTCCAGCACCATGCTTCTCGCTCTGAAAATGCCTTGCTCTGTGTGAAGGAACTGAACCAAATGCAGTCTGGCTCTGAGAGTTGTGTGAAAGCCATATTTCTGTTGCCCATCTTTTTATCAAGACAACACTTTGGAGTAAAGGCTTAAAAAGCACTTGGAGCCCTAGCCGATTTGGCTCAGTGGATAGGGCATAAGCCTAGGGACTGAAGGGTCCTGGGTTCAATTCCGGTCAAGGGCACATACCCAGGTTTCAGACTCCATCCCCAGTATGGGGCATGCAGGAGGCAGCTAGTCAATGATTCTCTCTCATCCCTGATGTTTCTTTTTCCTCACTTCCTCTCTGAAATCAATAAAAATATATATTTTTTAAAAACATACACACATAGATTTGAGTCACCCCAAACTCTAGATTCTTGAATTGTAGAATTGTTGTATTGGGACTCTTAGACTCCTAGTGGTCTGTCTGGGTGGTAGTGCTCGGAAAACAAAAATCGAAACTTATCAATGGAAAAATACATTAACTGACAATAGGCTGCGAGGAAACTGATACAGAATAAATTTTTGACAGGTGCATTTAAAATTCTGGTGTGAAACATTGTCTCAAGAAAATAACAGTTATTGTTGGCACAGCAATTTTATAATTAACTAACATGGGAAACAATTATAACTTAATAGGTATGGTTAATTTGTCATTTAAGAGCAGAATGGTCGACGGTAAAGGATAATGACATGAGGAAATCTCTCGTTAAGGAAAGACATTATATTCAGGATTCCATAACACTTTGTCTCCCCTCTCCCTCTGCGCTTCTTCCACATCAGGGAACAGGGAATCAGTTCTCAGGCCAGGTTTTTGTTTGTCTTTTACTCCCTGATTATTTAATGGATCATTAACAGAATGAAATTTTCCTGTCTCTACATTGATTAGTCAGTGTTCTTAGAATACAGTGTAGCCCTTAATTTTTTTTTATAATTGTTCTGTTTGTAAGCTTTGAGTTCCTTTTTAATCATAATTTCTTAGTGGAAGCTATAAACCTTGGGCATTTATCAGATTTACTGAGCATGTGGTCAATATTTTACATTTGATAGCCTATTAAAATTTTTAGCCATATAAACATTTTAATAGTTCATCTTTCAGTGCATATTTTTTTAAACTCTTTTTCTTTTGTAGGTATTTAATGCAAGGTTGTTTAAAGTAAAAGAAAGACATTTATTTCTGGCCTATTTAGGAAGAGCACAGTATGATCCAGCAAAAGCTAACTACATCTCTTTGGACAAATTGGTGTCAGTGCCTGATGAAATATTTTGTGAAGAGATTGCCAAAGCCTCAGTACAGGACTTTGAAAAATTCTTAAAAACTCTTTAGTTTTTGATGAATATTAAAATGTAACCATGTAAAATAAAAGTATGTATTAATAAATTAATATACTTCAAAATAAATGCCTTGAATCTCAATTGATACTGGAGACAATTTCTTGATATTGTAAATTTGGGTAAAGTTCTTAGATCTTTCTTAAAAGTTCCTAGTGACTTAATTCTTTGACTCAACCATTCCCTTCCTTCTGGGGAAGGAGAAAAATCACAATATAGCAAGCTTAGAGAAACAGTTTGAATATATATAGGCTGGCATCGTTTCTGGTGAAGATGAGAAGTGGAGGATTTTCCTCTTAAAATCACAGGGCTTTATTTATTTATTTATTTATTTATTTATTTTAATTTCAGAGAGAGGGAGATAGAAACATCAGTGATGAGAATCATTGATCACCTGCCTTCTGCACACTCCCTACTGGAGAATGAGCCCTCACCTCAGGCATGTGCCTGGACCTGGAATCAAACTGTGACCTCCTGATTCATAGGTCGACACTCGGCCACTGAGCCACGCCGGCTGGGCAGACACGGGGATTTTAAAGTGGTTTTATCACAAGACATCTGTATTTTCTTTAAAATGTTCAATGAGTCTCTGGAACATACTGTATTTACGTAATATCTACTACTCACCTAATGCTACAAAACAAATGTAATTTTGGACTATTTCCAGTGCTGTCTTCCCAAGCACAGATAATTAGAGTTGCCCACAGGTGGCTACTGATAACCAGGAAAGGAAAAAGCATAGGGAGGAAAGCAGTTTGCACGAAAGTAGATGTCAATGAGACAGTAAAAGGTCAGGACAACCCTTCTGAGCCTGCTTTCTCCTCTCCCCAACCAATAGGATTACACATAGTACTTAAAAGTTAGAATGAAATGAGAGCATTGAACCAGAATATGTCCAGCCCATGCTTAGCGCGTCGCTTGGCACAGGGCGCGATTAACATTGCCCAAAGTCTCACAGCTCGGCACTAACAGAACCCAGGCCACGGCCACGGCGCCCTCATTCCTTCCTCCCTGGGGTTTTCCCATCAGGCCACGCGGAGCACAGCGACTTACTCCGTTGCTAGGGACGCCGGCGGAAGGGCCCTCACGACAGCCACCCGACGTCGCCGTCTGAACTGCGCCTGCGCGCGGGCGTCCCCTGAGGCGCCTGCGCACTGTGGACCCCGCGCGCCCTCTGGGACTTACCCAGCAGGCAACGCTTCAGTGTCGGGTCAAGATGGCGGGCCGGCCTGCCGGTAAGTAATTCGGGTCCTCCCTGCTGGGCATCGCTGCGCCGCACCTTTCGTTCTCGCAGCGGCTTGCTCCTCTTCCTCTGCGCTCTCTCCGGGGCCGGCTGGTTCCGCGGCGGAAGGGAAGGGGCGGCTCCGGTCCGGCGTGAAGGCGGCCTTCCGCTGCCCCCCACCCTCCCACCCCGCACCCCGGCGACCCCAGCCCGGCCCGCCGAGGTAGGGGCTTGGGTGCTGTGGCTCCGCTGTGGGTGGCGGTGCCCGCGGCGGCCCCGGCCCCGCTGGCGTCCCATCTGCCCGCGCTGGGCGTCCCTGCCGCCTGGCCTTAGAGTTCAAGGGCACAAGGACATAGCTGGTGACTTTCGGCCGAAAGCAACGGGGAGTCAAGTGCCGGCAGGGGCGTGGGCGCGACGCATGCTCCCCGGGGGGTGTTCGTTCGCCCTGGACTGAGGTGACCAGATTTTAACATCGGTAAAGAGGGACGCCGGTGACGGGGGCTGGGTTGGGGGGGGGGTTCTTAACTTAAAATTTGGTCTATATAGCCGAGACCGGTCTGGCTCAATGGATAGAGAGCGTCGGCTTGGGGACGGAAAGGTCCCGGGTTCGATTCCGGTCAAGGGCATGTACCTTGGTTGCGGGCACATCCCCAGTAGGGGGTGTGCAAGAGGCAGCTGGTCGATGACTCTCTCGTCGATGACTCTCTCATCGATGTTTCTAGCTCTCTATCTCTCTCCCTTCCTCTCTGTACAAAATCAATAAAATATATATTTTTTTAAAAAATTTGGTCTATATGGAGCAACAAAAATTTTCATAGAACGTAAAAATAGTATTGTAATATGTTTTTTTTTAATTTCGACATAAGTACAATTTACAAATATAATACATTAAAAATTAGGTATAGTATTATTTTATTCTTTGGCATATTTCTCAATTGAGTGGATTTTTTTTTTTTTTTTTAGTAAATTGCTGTCGTCGTTTAAAAAGATCATGAAATTTTTCACAAGAATTTCAAAACGGCTTTCAAAGTCTCAACACTTAATTGTGATTTTTCTGACGTCCACACTTTATTTACCGTAGGAAAAAAACCGCGTTCAGTCGCAGCATTAGTTCCTGGTAAGGACAGCGCGTATTCCACAATTCTAACAACTGATCAACAATGCGACCTTTGATAAGCAGTTCTCGATAATCAGTTCTCAACAACTATTTGTCATTGTTAAAGTTTAACATTATAAAATTAACAAAAATAATATAAAACTCATATCCTGGCTAAATAGCCACAAGGCCGCCGAAAACCATCCATCTATTCCCTTCCCGTTCTCCCGCCGTTCCTTACCTTGTGCATTCTTTCCAAACATCGGGACTTTTTTAAAACAGCGCGGGGCGCGGGACAGACGGTTAAAAACCGGGACGTCTGGTCACCTGACCCTGGACCCTGATAACCGAGGCCGAGTGGCCGGAGGACATGGGGTTGGAGGCGGCCTTCTGCCCCTCGCGCTTCCCAAAGCGGGAACCGGAGGGAGCTGAGCGCAGGCGACAGGGAGGCTTCGAGTGTACCTTCCCCGGGAGCTCAGCGTGGCCTGGGGATTTGAAGGAATCTGTATTTATGGGAGGCACTCAGACAAGCACCTGTTATTGAACAGAAAGCCGAACTTACCGGAATATTTAACACGGAACGGGAACGTCAAATAGAGTTTTACCTTTTTGTTGTTCTTGTTGCCAATCTCTGCCCTCCGACGGTATAAATTGACAAAGCTGTTAAAATAATATATATATATATAATCTCCTTCACCAGCCTAAGCGACACTGACGGGCAGACCCGTAAGAGTCCGTTATTATAATAAATTTAACCTCACGAATATTGAAGGCGCTCTGCCCCTCCGCAGTGCTTGGCGCCGGACAGACCCGCTGGCTTCCACCGCTGGAGGGAGGGCTTCTGTGAGACCGGTGCCTCTGCGTCAGGGACCCGCGTGCGGATCTGGGTAAAGCAAGCGGGTCAGTGCTTGGCGCACAACCAGTGTTCCGTGCACGTTAATCACTCTCCATCGCTGGCTAAGGCACTCACCAGTAACTGATTTTCCACAGGCGTGTCTGCAGATCGTTGGCTCTTCGGTCATCCGTGGTGCTTAGTTTCCCAGGAGAGTTACCAAAGGCCCAGACCAATGTACTAGGAGGAGGGGTTGGAGGGAAAGGAGTTTGCTTGATAAGGGTCTAACCCAGGACAGAAATGTAAAGGCGGTTTTAAGCTTTCTCTACCTCCCCTTCTGTACCACATTTCTCCTGTAAACACCAGGCACTGTCATATTATTCCTCAAGGAGTTTTAACGTTACCTCTTTCTTCTCATCCGTTTTTTCTTTCTTTCTTTCTTTCTTTTTTTAAAAAATATATTTTATTGATTTTTTACAGAGAGGAAGAGAGAAGGATAGAGAGTTAGAAACATCGATGAGAGAGAATCATCGATCAGCTGCCTCTTGCACACCCCCTACTGAGGATGTGCCCTCAACCAACGTACATGTCCTTAACCGAAATCGAACCCTGGACCTTTCAGTCCACAGGCTGACGCTTTATCCACTGAGCCAAACCGGTTTTGGCTTCTCATTCGTTTTCAAATATCCATTCCCTTGGTGGAAAGCTTGGGGGGATGTGGAAAATGGGCTTCTTTGGCTGATCCTTTTTAAGGTTAAATGACTAAGTAATTGTATCAGAATCCTCCCAGAAATACTAAAGAGGGTAGCCAAGTAATAAAAAGGTGATGCAGAAAATACAAATTTTGGAAGATGAGGGTCATTTAGATCGCCACCCTGTCCTGACATTTTACCTTCTTTTCTTACAACACCAACTCCCTTTGAAAGGGAAGTTTAGATTTGTTACCTGTAACTGTTTCTGAAACTATAATGAGAAGTTCCGAGGTTCTTCCCCATACCCTACCCCTTTAATTCTGACAGTTGCAGGGGGACATACAGGAATGGCAAGCTTGCCTTTGAGTGGCAGTAGTTATGCTTGTAAATCTCTTGTGCATTAGGTGTTTGAGTTTACCTGTTTTCCCATGGCTTGCCCATTTTTTTTTTTTTTTTTTTTTTTACCTGCAGTTTCTCTTGCTCATAGACAAAATAAGGAATTTTTACCAACAGTATATGGAGTATACACTGTTAAAAGGAAATACCTTCCTATGCTTGCACTCTCTAACCATTAACTATCAGACAGTGGTGGCTTACCCATCAGCAATTTCGGATAGTACAATAAGTGAGTTGTAGCAACTAACAGTGTGACAATCTCAGTTGCAGCATCAGGCCGGTGGCTGGACGGTATTCGAAAATGGTATTACAATGCGGCAGGATTCAATAAACTGGGTGAGTATCTGCACTTTCTCCCCCTGTTTTTTTCTTTTTCTTTTTTTCTGAGAGTAGTCTTTTTGCAAAAAAGACTCATTAAGAGTCCAAAAAAGTAACTAATTATGCTTGTGCACCTTAGAAGATGTTAATATTAGGTCACATTTTATTATGTTAAATCACATCCATTTTTTATTATTTTGAGAAGAGAGGGATGGACTTGTCTTAAATGTTTGAGGAGGAAATGATTTATGTTCTTGAAATATAGTAGCTGGACTTTTTCCTTAGTATACGCTCTCTCTCCCACCTCCTCCCCTTAGCATTTAAAGTTCTGTGAACTTTGAAAGTAGAGATTTTTCCTATTTGTGTTTAAAAACAAGGTAGACATTTTAAAATTTGTTTTAGGTAAAAGGTGAATTCTGTGGCAATAGATTTTAAAAGGCTCGTCTATTGTTTCCAAAGTACCATTTTATAAATAATCCACTAAATAACCCATTATTATATATGAAATACATTGAGCTTGGTTATAAATAACTCTTGATATTTCACCCCAAGTCTTAAGTTTATAAGTCATAAAGATATCTTACTCATTTTTGTTTTTAAATTCCTGATTTGTGAGACGCATATTTAATCTCTCCTGTTTCCTATCGTAGGGCTAATGCGAGACGATACCATCCATGTGGATGAAGATGTGGAAGAAGCCATCAGAAGGCTTCCCGAGAACCTGTACAACGACAGGGTGTTTCGCATTAAGAGGGCGCTGGACCTGTCCATGCGGCAGCAGATCCTGCCTAAGGAGCAGTGGACGAAATATGAGGAGGTGAGACAGCTTCTGAGTCTGACACTGTCCACTAAGGATTGAGTATTACAGACAGAAACATTCATTTGTGTAGGGCTTTAGGGTTCTTAATGTTGTCACAAATAAATGTCCTTATGACAGTATGGTGAGGTGATAAAGCACATGTTCACTTCATTTTAGAGACAAACATGAAGACGGAAACGTGAAGTGACTGTTCCAAAGTCACTAAGCAAGTTTACAATATCTTCCTGGGTTTTAAACTTTAAAAAAGCAGACAGTTCTTAGTTGGCTAGAAAATACTTTTTTAAGTTGGGAATGAAATTTTCAATGACTTTTTGTTGTTTAAGACCTATTGAGTGTTTGAAGTATACAGTATGCGATGGTGATGGTAGCATATGATATTTTTCTTTTATTCGTTTTTTAGGATAAATTCTACCTTGAACCATATCTGAAATAAGTTATTCAGGAAAGAAAAGAGAAGAATGGGCAAAGAAATAATCATGGAATCAATCTGTGGATGCACTTGTCCTCAGTATTTTAATTATGTTGGTTAAACTTGAAATGCACACTTTAAAACCATCTGGGTTTCAAATATATAAATAAATGTCTATTATAACTTTTGTTGGAGTTTTTGAATTCTGAACTTTATTTTTAATAACTACTGCATTTACTTATCTGTTAAATTCTTTTCAAACTTGCCGAAACCTGTTTGGCTCAGTGGATAGAGCGTCAGCCTGCGGACTAAAAGGTCCCAGGTGTGATTCCGGCCAAGGGCATGTACTTTGGTTGCGGGCACATCCCTAGTAGGGGGTGTGCAAGAGGCAGCTGATCAATGATTCTCTGTCATCGATGTTTCTAACTCTCTATCCTTCTCTCTTCCTCTCTGTAAAAATTCAATAAAATATATTTTTAAAAAATAAAATTAAAATAAATAAATTCTTTTCAAACTTACAAGGTATTCTTCAATTAGTGTTTAATGGCCTCCTGAAGCTAAGAGAAGCCATTTTTTAAATTTTTTTATTTTTATTCCTCAACTGAGTATGTTTATTGATATGAGAGAGAGAGGAAAAAAACATCGATGTGAGAAATATCAATTGGTTGCCCTCATGCACCCTGACTGGGCATTGAACTTGCAACCTGTGTACATGTCCTGACCAAGAATCGAACCCAAAGCCTATTTGGTGCATGGGACAACGCTCCAGCCAACAGCCATGTGACCAGGGCTACCAAACCATTTTAATCAGGTTGGATAACTTCTTGATTTGCTGAGAGAGAGAATATTCTTCCAAATAGAACAGTCACCTTGCTACTGCATTTGCAGATTAGCAAGATGCCTAGTAGCCCCTCTCGAGCCTAACTTGCAGGAATGGAATGGAACAGGAAACAAGTGCCATCATTTTATCTGAAGCAAACTGCACTTGAGCAGACTGGCTCTCAGACTTCAAAAGTTACTGAGAGAAAGAGGATCCACCCCCTGTTGTTCCCTCTGCAATCACAGTTCTCAAAATATAATTGAGTCTGCATCCTATCTTAAAATTGTGTATACAGCCCTGGATGGGTCTGTATAAGGTATATGTGTTCCTGTGTATTAGAAAACAAAAATCAGACAAAAATATAAAGACCTCATATTTTCTCCCCATATCCCAGAGGCTTTTCTACTTTTGAAATGATTGTTAGAAAGTATATTGTAAAGGTTAGATACTAATAATAGTTTGAAGTTTTAAGGTTATGATAACTTTAATATAAAAACCATTCAATGATGTCATTGCCACCCCTAAATCTTAAGATGACTTCTGTGGAGGAAGCATGCCGAGAAGCCCAGCAAGTGGGAAAGGGACCCTGGGACCTGCAGCCTGCACAGGTTCTCCAGGCCCCTGCTGTGTGTGGTGGGATCTTCCCTCAAAGAGCAACACTGCAAAGTTCTGTGCCAGGTGAAACTCCTAAAACTAAAAAGCATGTGTTCACATATTTTATGTTTTCCACAAAATTAGATATGTTGACATTTATTTATGTTTGACTTGCAACATGAACACAAGGTCTTAAAAATTGGCTAAGATATTAGAACAAATATCTTAAGAGCCCCCCTTCTCTGATATTCAGATTATTTTCTGAAACCCTATTCTGTATCAGGTCAATTTTTTTTGTTTGGTCTGAGTTGCCTAAATCTTCCTTGGATATAAAAGTTTTGGTTATGGTAAACACAGTTGTTTCGTTAATCCTCACCCGAGGATATTTTTTCCACTGATTTTTAGAAAGTAGGAGGGAGGGAGGGAGACACATGGATTGCCCCACGCACCCAGATGGGGTCATAGATCAAACTGCAACCAAGGTATGTGCCCTTGACTGGAATCGAATCTTAAGACTTGGGTCTGTGGACAGTGCTCTAACCACTGGGCAAATCGTCTTGGGGCAGCAGTTCTTTAATATGCTTAATATTTTGTGAGATTTGTGACCTATTTGGAACAGTATTGTAAACCACGTAGAAACTGATACAAAGATCGTGGTCGATGACAATGTTAAGGGACATCTTAGTGAGGGACTATTTGCATCAGGGTCAGTTGAAGAATGAATACTTTTGTGTCAGGATGCTTCCCTATCAGACCTACAAGTAAATAACTGAGGTAAATTCTCAGACAACCAAGCACCGCCCAGTATTTCAATGCTTCAGTTTCTTTCCTCTCTCAGACCTTTTCAAGTAAACCTGAATCTCATACATGATGGATTAGTGTTATTTCCATATAACCTATTTGGCTCATCATCCTGTAGACGGTAATAGAGTAGTAATTCATAGCCAATTCTAGGTACAACTACCCAGATCTGAATCCATTGACTTATTGGGTTTGACTTCTCTGTGCCTCCATTTTCTCAGCTCTAGGATGGAGCTAATGATAGAACTGACTTTAGAGGGTTGTTTTGAAATCAACCAATTTCATTATATATCAGGTACTCAGAACAGGTCTTGGCACATGGTAAGCACCATTCTGACTTGCTAAAGAATTCAGTAATAAGAATGGTAACAGGGCCGAAGCCTAAAGTCACTATAGCCATAATAATCCTATGTTCATAAACGGGATGATGCTAACATAGACCTATGTATGACTTTGAAAATAACCAAAGATGGAGGGAGGGTATGGATGGGGGGGTAAAACATGTACACAGATAATAATTTAATAAAAAAAAATTTTTTTTAAGAAAATAACCAAAGAATTTAGAATTTAAAAGCCACGTGAAGTTGAGCTAGAGTGGCTCAGTTGGTTGAGCACCATCCCATGAACCCAGGGGTTACCGTTGATTCCTAGTCAAGGTACATGCCTGAGTTTCGGGCTCCATCCCCCTTGAGGTGGGAGGGTGGGGGTGTAGGAGGCAGCCAATCAATGTTTCTCCCTCTCCTTTCTCTAAAATAAATAAAAACATATTTGAAAAAATAATAAAAGCTAGGTGAACATAAAACTATACTAAGTACTTGAAAGTCTGGTGGGTGAAGTGCAAATGGGTTTACCCTTTTGGGTGACATAAGTTTTAGTAACTAAAGTATCAGATATGAATATACTTGAAGGGTAAATGGGACATAACTAGAGAATATAGGGGAAAGGGGCTGGGACCGGTTTGGCTCAATGGATAGAGCGTCGGCTTGGGGACTGAAGGGTCCCGGGTTCGATTCCGGTCAAGGGCATGTACCTTGGTTGCGGGCATATCCCCAGTAGGGGGTGTGCAAGAGGCAGCTGATCGATGACTCTCTCTCATCATCGATGTTTCTCTCTATCCCTTTCTCTTCCTCTCTGTACAAAATCAATAAAATATTAAAAAAAAAAAAAAAAAAAAAAGAATATAGGGGAAAGGTCTCTTTATTAGAATAAGGTACTAAATTCTGCCACTAGGTGGTGATGTACTACAACTTTACAACTTAAGAGTGCACCTCGCCTCACAGCTGAAGATTTATCCTTTTTGTACCCTCACCAACTCCCTCCCCTTCATTTTTCAGGATGACAACACCTTAGAGGTTTATGGCCATCAGGAGAATTTACTACTAAGCTATATACTGATGTAATGAAATCTAATATATGCTGTGCAATGAATTATGAGATGTTATTTAGTTTCAGGATTTTATTACTTCAATCAGTTATGACCATATTTCCTCTTATAGGATTGCTCACTCTTTAAACATACCAGATGACTGTATAAGGAACACCTAATAAAGTCTATAGATGTTAAAATCTAAATGTTTTAATTTATTTTCCATAATTTGTTTAAATTCTGGTTATACCGGTGTTCATATTAAAAGCCATAACATATTAGAATTTGAGATGTCAGGTCAGATGGTGCCTCTGAATTATATTTTGTTAAGAAATTTTATTGTATGTATTAGCAATTGAGCAGAGAAGAAGAACTGAGTAATTCATTACAAGGTAATTTTCAGCATAGATTCCAGAAGCCTGTTAGTATTTGAGGAACTTAGGTATTTTGTATTAAGACAAACTATTTAAGTTATTCTGGATTTTGACTATATCTCTCCTACAATTGAAAAATGTATTTGTTTAACTTTGTATTTTAATACATTTGCCCATTTCTACATAAATGCCAAAAAGTAATTTAAAAATAAACCCCTATGAAACTTCTGGTAACATTATTCAACTGAATCATTGCTCTGTTAGTATTCTATTTTAAAGAACATTTTATAAATACACTTGAAAATTGTATTCACAAGCCAAACCCCCCCCCCCCCAAAAAAAAAATAATGATTTCTGTTACAAGAGTCAGTTTCTAATTCCTTTCTTATGCATGCACTGAAAGTGTGGTTTGCCACTAAACTGGAAACTAAAATGTGATACCAATGATCTAGGCAAATCATTAGCCTTTACAGATTGGTGCTCCTTAGCTATAAAGGAAAGGTTTTGACTACAAAATCTTTAAGATTCATTTCCACACCAAACCATTCTGCGTATGTAATTTTATTTATGCGCTTCATTGTTAGTATGAATTAATATTGATGCGAGTAGCAGATTCTGTTCATATCTTCCTTGCAAACTTCTGGCATAGCTATTACACCTATAGAAGAGGAAATTGAGCTTAAAAATATCATTTTATCCTTATGTTTTGTTTTGTGGTTTTTGGGAGGGGAAGGGGCATGCTTTTTATGTGCCAAGCTAGGCAGAAGCTAGGTGTGGGACAAGGTTTCTCACCATTGGCACTATTGACATTTGAGGCTGAACAAGTCTTTATTTGGGGGGGGGGGGGGCCTTCCCTGTACATTATAGGATGCTTAGCAGCATCTCTAGTTTCCCCCATGTTGTGACAACCAAAAATGTCTCCACACATTGCCAAACGTCCCTTGGGGACAGAATTGCCCCATTGAAAACCACCAAGAGCGAAATCAAGATGGTGGACACGTCTATATGTAAATAAATATGTAAATTAACTAAAAAATATGCACCAAGTGAACTAACTCAGCCTTCAGCCTAGAGGGTGATCAAAGTAGACCTTTTGACAACCTGGCTGAGTTTTCAGAGTAAGCAAAGCCAGTCAAACCGAGAAGGTAGTGAAGTGCTTTACAAGAAGAAGAAAATAAACATGGAAGCGCAGGCATTGCATTGATGGAGTGGCAAATATCTGGGAGATTAAACTTGGAAAAGTATATGCAATATGGCAAGATGTTTGGATGCTGTTAGCAGGAAAGTGTTTGGATAGATTCTGGGAAGTGAAGGTCCAACTGTTAATTTTTTTAGAGATATTAGAAGGTCCAATGACATGTTCAAGGGTAGGATTGGGAGTAGACAGAGAGGCATGAAGGGTACCCGCTAAGGGGGATCTCTTAAGTGGGAAGCAGGCTGGTAATCAGCCCCTTCTGTATGAGATTGGTTGCTGTGCTAGATATTCCAGATGCACTCTACACTTCTTCACTCTGTTCTGCACCCCCAGATGCTGACCTGTATGAGTTGCATGTAAATAACACCCTTGCTGTCTGGCTTCTGACTTGGACTTGGCCAATGGGAAGTCACCTGCAGGAGACGGTGGACACGAAGAGAAAAATGGTGGGATTCATTCCCGAGCCAGCCCCCTACTGGATCAGAGGTTGGCCGTTGGCTGTGTTCCTCT